TCTACAAATTCTCGCACAAAGAGGATCCAGAGCACTACAAATGGAAGACTTGACACTCTTAATATCCCAACAACCTCAAGAATTCAGAACACTCCATGATTCAAAAAAGGGTCTCAAAAAATGCTTCTTCTTATCCTCAATTCTCAAAATTCCTTAACTCGTTATCCTTATCCTCCTTTTTTTTCGTTGATAATAATTTATTCCTGTATGGTAGTTGCAGCTTCCTTTCAAAAAGTTATTCATGAAATTTTTTCCCATATAAAAAAATTGTAATATTACATTTCCCAGTGCTAGACGATATCTTAAAACTTTTTTTCCTCGTTTTCTCTGTTTCGCACTTTCAATTCAAAAGGGGGATTACAACTTGTTGAGATCGCTTGTTTGTTTCTAAGGGATTATTTCAAGGAGAAAATGGAATTTAAAGTTCAGGAGTTGTTTATCAATGATGTGGAATATTTTTGCTGAGAGAGGACGGGTGTGGGACATAAAAGAGTAGTTGAGTTAAAAGTTTCAACTTGTCTCATGAGTTTTTGGATATTAATGAAGTAAATAAAAAAGCCAGAATCTTCTACATTTTGACGTCATTTGTAAAAAATCCCGTAGAGCAAAGAATCACAAAAGAGTCTAAAATTTTTTGGACTTCTTGATTTTGAGATGTTCTTTTTAATTTTCTTAATTCTAGAAGCTAGACTTGAACTTATTATCAATTGCTCTTAGTTCCTTGACTTCATGAAGATACTCAAAAAGTAGAGGAAAAAAAATTTAAGATCAGCACACGAATCCAATTAGTAATCTTAAAAAATTAACACTAATTAGCAACTAAGTTGCCAAATCGCTCATATAAAAAGTAGGAAATCCCCTCACTGACCTGGAAATCCCCCTTACTCAATTCCAACGAAAGCCATACAAGCACAAATTGCATAATTCGGTGAGTGGAAAAATTAATGGCATTTTTATTCCCATACCAACATTTCTCCTCGTTATGTCTACGACGTCGTCCATAAAAAGCACTTTTTCGCATTAAGAAGAGAAAATAAAATAATAGAAGTAGCAGACGACACAGGAAAAAGAAAGGAGGCAAAGAAAGATGAATGGTATTTAAATCTACTCTGTTTGCATTTTGTGATATAAATCTATTATGCAAATAAAATAACATTTTTGCGCAAAGCTCAAAAACATTTAATATTAAAAAAAGGACTGTAGAAAAGAGTCGACTTGTGGATGGGTGTAGACGTAGAGTCATGAGAAGGTAGGTTGTGTGGGAGAGCGACAAAAACGCTTTAATAAATAAATTTTGCGACAATTGCAGTATTATGGTGCATAATAAGAAGATATCCGGAAAATGAGCTGTTTAATCCAATAAAAGTCTGCCTTTAGCATTGTTATTGCCAAACAGTCTGCAGTGTAAATGAAAAAAAAAAATCTTTTTAAAATCGTCATAAATTTCTCAATTTTATGTTCGCAACGAGATCATCCATTTTATGAGCTTAACATCAACTTATAAAAAGCTATGTACTCAAGTAAGTAAATGCGCTAACATATTCAATTCACGTCAAAAACATCACTTGCTCTTCTTATTTTGTATATTTTTATACTTTGGCTGGTGAGGTTGGCTGGCAGAAAGCCTTCCCCTCTAAAATATTTTATCACATTAATTCTAATTCCGTATACATGCACACATAGCTCTATAAACTTATTCACAAACACTGAATAAATAAACAAATAACAATAATAATACGATATACAAAAAATAAAGGAACAACAAACTATATATGTGTATGGTGAAAAAGTGGTACATGCACACAGAACATATTCTAACTTAAATGTGACACAATCAAAATAGTACAATGAAAAAGTGAACACTGAGTGAGTGGAAAAAGAGAGAAAAAAAGGAAAGAAAAACATATTGGCAATTAAAGTTAATGTGAAAAGGCATGTTAGACGTGAAACAACATCAAATTAGTGCTAAACAATGGATAGAAAGGGCTTGTAAATGAATGACATGGTAATGGATGAAAATGTGTAAACACAGTTTAGATAAGAGATCTAGAGATTCTGGAGTTTCGTTTATTTTCGGAGGTTTATTTGTGGATTTGATTTGTTTAGTTTGAGAGTTTTGTGAGATGGCTGTTTTTAATTGTAAATATTTTCAGGAATCAAAGAGTTTTTCTTTTATATCAACTATTTTTTGACTTATTTGAGTAGATTTGAACTTACTCGATTAGTTTTAGATAGAATCAACTTTATTTGAACTAGTTCAACTAGTTTTGAACCGACTCAACTAGCTTTGATCTGATTAGACTAGCTTTGAACCAATTCGACTAGCTTTGAACTGATTCAACTAGGTTTGAACCAATTCGACTAGCTTTGAAACAATTCGACTAGCTTTGAACCAATTCAACTAGCTTTGAAACAATTCGACTAGCTTTGATCTGATTCAACCAGCTTTGAAACAATTCGACTAGCTTTGAACTGATTCAACTAGGTTTGAACCAATTCGACTAGCTTTGAAATAATTCGACTAGCTTTGAACCAATTCAACTAGCTTTGAAACAATTCGACTAGCTTTGATCTGATTCAACCAGCTTTGAAACAATTCGACTAGCTTTGATCTGATTCAACCAGCTTTGAAACAATTCGACTAGCTTTGAACTGATTCAACTAGGTTTGAACCAATTCGACTAGCTTTGAAATAATTCGACTAGCTTTGAACCAATTCAACTAGCTTTGAAACAACTCGACTAGCTTTAATCTAATTCAATTAGCTTTAAACCAATTCAACTAGCTTTGAACCAATTGAACTAGTTTTGAGCCGATTAAATTAATTTTGAATCTATTCTGCTAGCTTTAGACCGATTAGAATAGTTACAAGATCAGCATTCGCAAATTTTAAATAAACTCAATTGCAATAAATTCCAATTTAAAACTAGTCAATAAATTTCAATCAAATTATCCCAAACAAAAACTGATTCTAAACAATGAAAACCGCGAAATTTCCAATTATTTTTCACTAATTCGGTTAGCCAAGTACAAATAAACTTCATCTAAAAAAATTTCCAAAATAAATTTTAATTAATGAAACTAATTCCGTGCCAATCCACATTTGCGATATTCAATCACGATTTGGACATTTAATGTGGTAATCAATATAATTATCGAATGATATTGATTTTATTGCTGATTTGCACGATTATTTCATTGTTCATTACTTTAGCTATTGTTTTGAAAATAAATTTGGAAATTTTTCATGCGGATTGAAACTTTTTTTTTGGTTTTGTGCAAAAAATTGAGTTTTAGAACTTTTTTTAAAAATAACTTTGAATCCCTCAAGCTGATGTGACTTATCAAAAATTCATGATTTTACCTGCAGTCGGAACTTACCAGAATCAGCTAATTGTGCTTTTCGTTATCTCAACTTCATGAATATTTAAATAATTTCTAAAATACAATTTTTATGCCCTTAGTCCGTAAAGCAAGTAGCCAGGTTAATAAAAATTTCATAAGTCGAGCCAATTTTTACACCCACAGTGTCACGTAATTACAATAAATTATAAAAGAACGTGGAATTACTCTTAAAATTAATCATTCTGTTTCTGCAAATGCATTTTGCAATTTTTTATCTTGGCGTCAAAGTTAAAAATCACCGACAATTTGAAATTCATTTTAATCATAGCTAATTTATTCCATAAATTTACACGTATTGAAATAAAAATTCATGAATATAAAAATATAAATCATGACTCTTTTTGGACTTTTATGTGATATGACAAAAAAAAATGATATAAAATCAAATACACTAGAATATCAAATGAGGGTCATAGCACGTATCAAAGAATATATTTAGAGCTGATTTATAAAGTTCGTGTCAATTCCAAAACACGATATGACATGGATAGGATAGTTGTGTAATAAAATCATAATCGTGAGTGATTTTGAGTTCAATAAAACAGCCTAGATTTTATTTTAAGGTTTAACATTTGCATACATTTGAAAACTGGCGAAAAAAGAGGCTTCAAAGCTAGCTTTAGACTGAATCATCGTGGTCCAAATTGATCAAAATTGAACCAACTTAAATTACGGTTCAGGATCTATTCAAATCCCTTCAAGATTGAATTTGGATGCTTAAAACAACTGATTTTTGCTTAACTGCCCGAATGGCACAAGTCGGTTAATTAATCAGAAATCCGGCATCAAGCTAGTGTGACTCTGGCATGTTGCTGGATTTAAATCGAAGCCAGCACTATGCCAGAGCCATACCGGCTAGGCACTAGATTTCTATTCGATTAACCGACTTGGACCGTTCGGGCTGATTCAAAATACGAACGGTTCAATTACAATTGTTGAAAAACTAGACAAAAATGTTAATCAATTGCTTCATTCTGATAACTTTGCAATACAATTCCAATATTGTCCCCAATTTCTAACAGAAAATCATATCCTTTCATCAAGATATCCAGATCCTTCCCAAGAGAAAGCAATTAATCCCCCTAATGATTCTCCCTCTTCCCTAAATCAAAACAGCACGATAAAGACTATTCAATTCTCGATTAAACCACAAGTAAAAGTTTCATCTTGCTGTGTATCAAATTGTTTCCCCTCACGCCTGACTCTCAAAGTCTTAAATCAAATCCAACCCACATTAAAAATGTGATTATCGAATTTCATCACACTTTAGAATCTCTAGCACAGTACAGAAAAGCTCGACAAGAAGCCACATACATTTATTATACAAAAACAAACGCAGACAATTTTGTTAAGTGGGTTTCGTTCCTAAATGACGTCTTTTATTGAGTATGTTTATAAGATAAGTGGTTAGAAGCGGGTGAGATTGTGGATATTATGTAAATCAGAACAGACATCATTTAAGAACAAACCCCATTAAACCGAGAAAACAAAAAAAAAACACAAAAGAATAGATGAAAAAGCAAAGGAAGCGGAAGTGAGTAAATAGGTGATAAAATAAGTTAAAATTATATATTAAAAGAAAAAGACATATTTACATTTATGCTAGACGTAAAACTTTTCACACTGTTTGTTTTTAAAATAGGCGAATGATTATTTGATGGATTGTGTTGAGGCGTCACAGGAGTAGAAGTAGAAGTAGGAGAAGCTTTATGTGAATGTTTACTTGTAAATGATTGTTTTGTTAAATTATTCGATGATGAAAACTGATTAGAGGATAGGAGATCTGTTGATGATTGTGTGGTTTTATTGTTGCCTGATTTATCTGTTGGAGGAAGATTTGTCGTTGTTGTGGTTGTTGATGTTGATGATGATGTTGTTATAACCTAAATATACATTATTATTATACATACATACACATATACCGCATTGAAAATTTCACAGGTTTTAGAACATTTTCAGTGAATTTAGTATTGTACAGGGTTGGAACTAAATTAAGCTATTGTACAAATCTATTTTTGGTAGCTGCGAAAGTGATTTTAGAATGTCAATGAGATTGGTGACACATGGGTTGACCACCACTGGATTAGAGTGATTATTTATAGCTTGGAGGCTTGAATTTCATTGCATTGATCTGACTGAGTGTAACCAGAGGGTCTAAGCCCCCTCCTTGGGATCCGATGCTGACTTACAGAGATATTCTCATAAAGTTAAATTATGAGGGCGTTGTCCTCATTACTAGCAATTTTAAAAATTAACATGTTATGTTTCTTAAAGCTTTTTCCTTTGCTTTACGATCAATTTACATTACTGACAGCTGAGTAATAGCACCAACTGCTTGTGACAAAGGTTGAGTAAATTGAACCATTTTTTAAAGACAGCTTATATGAAATTGTCTTTTTGCATTACTGTCAATGCAATAATACTGTCAATTTATGAGACTAGATGTAAAAATTTTGTAATTTAAAAAAAATCCAAGCTGTGCCAATTTTTATGGAACTGTTAAAGCAATATTATTGCAATAAAGTCTATGAATCGAATATTAATGTCAATTATGTGAATCGAGTTTCTATTGAATATATGCTGAACATTTAAAAGGGAGAGTGAACGATCGTTTAGACATTCAAATTGAAATTTGATCGCTGATCTGGTTCTTTAGACTTACAATTAATTTAAACAAGTAATTTGACTTACAATCAAATTTAGTTGCAATTTAAAACGTGAAATATCGATTTACTATTCTAGGATGTCTTAAATAGACCTACAAACTAGGCACAGAGCTACACTAGGGCCATGATGATGGCTAACCTTAATTCTTGATTTACAATCTTTAGAAGGATTCGAACCACTCCTTTGAATGCATTTTATAGGCTGTTTTGCTGAGTTTCGAACCAATGATCTTATCAATTGTCAAAACACAAAGCAACAACTCCATTAAGTGACTCCAGCTCACCCTGATCACAATACATTCTAATATCACTGTCACTTCTCTAATTTAAAAACATTCTAATATTTATTTCCAACCCTGGACGGATGCAGAAAGATGAGAAATATTTTATGCTATGTTAATATTGTTCCTTGCTAATGCTGGATGATTATAAAGATAGATTCTCATTAAATATTTAAATAAAACAGAAATAAACAAAAAAATCATGATAAGTACAAACGGAAAAATGAAAACAAAATTTTAAATGAATCCCCAGCCAATAGATAGGTAGATATAAAGTCACATAAATTAATGATTATTTTTCCAAGCCAAAAATTTATAATTTTGTGTGTTTACGCATTTCAATTAATTTCATTTCGCATTTTCTACTTTAAATTCATGCTGAATATCATTCTGATTATATTGACGAAATTTATTGTCAATGGGACGAATTAAAAAAATACTTTTTTATAGCAATAATAAATTTTGTTTATTTATTTTTATTATTGCCATTTATACCTTCGCATTTGGTGTGATTCGAAAATATTGACGATCCAGTTTTGGTTAAATGATCTTCATATATTAGCTAAATGAGCTTTTTTCCTGACTTTGAACTCTAATTCAGTCCCAAAAGTGTAATGTTGTGGAAATTTAAGTTGTTAGGCATACGGCATCTACATTATTAGTTCCATTCGACTATTTGAAATGGAAATTCTTCTTGCACCTTTTACATGAACCTTTTCGATTCATAAATTTTCGATATTAAGGAATTCACTTCCTTTACAAAATGGATATTTTTTGTTTGTTACCATTTTCAATGTTGTTTTGTTTCTGTTTAATAAATCCTTGATTACACGTCAGCTTGTAGCTGTTTATTTTCGTTTTTCATAAACGAATTGTTCATTCTTGTAAATTCAGTGTAAATCCTTAAAAGGATACTTGATGCTTATTGAACTTATTGATTTTTTGTATGTTTGTTTGTTTGATTTTTGGATTTGTTTATGGAAACCTACTTTAAATGTCCTCCTCCTTCTTGTTTCATCGTGGTTCTTGGCTCTTGGTTTTTGGTTTTAGGTTCTTGTATCTTGGTTTTGTTTCTTGGTTCGTGACTCTTGGTTCTTGGTTTATGTTTAATTTTTATTGGTTCTTGGTTCTTGGTTATTGGTTCTTGATTATTGGTTCTTGATTATTGGTTCTTGATTATTGTTTCTTACTTCTTGGTTCATGGTTCATGGTTCATAGTTCTTGGTTCTTGGTTCTTGGTTCATGGTTCATGGTTCATAGTTCTTGGTTCTTGGTTCTTGGTTCTTGGTTCTTGGTTCTTCTTGATTCTTGGTTCTTGATTATTGGTTCTTGTATCCTGGTTCTTGGTGGTTCTTGATTCTTGGTTCTTGATTATTGGTTTTTGATTATTGGTTCTTGGTTCCTGGTTCTTGGTTCTTGGTTCTTAATTTTTGGTTCTTGGTTCTTGGTTATTGGTTCTTGATTCTTGATTCTTGGTTCTTGATTATTGGTTCTTGGTTCCTGGTTCTTAGTGGTTCTTGATTATTGGTTATTGGTTCTTACTTCTTGGTTCATGGTTCATAGTTCTTGGTTCTTGGTTCTTGGATCTTGGTTCTTGGTTCTTGGTTATTTGGTTCTTGGTTCTTGGTTCTTGGTTCTTGATTCTTGGTTCATGGTTGCGTTTCTTGGTTCTTCCTTCAAATTAAGCCCAGAAAACACCAGATCGACTTGTAATAGTTATCAAGGTAGTGTTGCTCTAGCACAAAGGGTTTTAACCTTCTAGATGCAATGTTAATTTAAATGACAAGATGCCAGTTTAAAAAATATTAAAATCTTCAACAAAGCCCTCGAAAATCCCCGAATCACACCAAAATTACGCACAATAAAATTTAAAATTCATATCATTGCAATTGAAATTATCAACACCAGATATTATTCAGAATGATAAACTCATTAACTGTATGCATTGTATCAATGAAATTGTAAAGTATGAAAATTTTCGTATGTTTTATATTTTAAACAATGAAAATAAAGCAAACAATATTAAAAATAATAATGTCATTAACGTAAATGAGGAAAACAAAAAAAGAACAATTTTTTTTAAAAAAATAAAGTGATAAAAAATTCAGCCAATTAAGCAAAATGCAATTTTGATTGTTATTAATGGAAATTTGTAATTATCACCTACACAACAAGTGCAATAATAATAATAACAATAAATAAATAGAATTTAAAATTCAAATAGAGACTTACGTCATTAATTGATTGTTGCTGCAATGATATCATCCTAGGTATCGCCATATGATACTGATACAGAAATATACAAATTGATGACAGAATGAATGTCAGGTACAGTGTTTTATATGATGTTCGCATTTTGAGAGACATTTGAACTTAAAATAAAAAGTTGATCCTTAGTTCCTAAGTCCAGTGGATTTTTTTTTATGGAAAATTTTTGTGAAATGCGGAATGTTTGTGGATGTTCTGAATGTTGAATAAAACAAAAAAAAAAATGAATTGTTTTACAGTCGTTGTTACTGTCTACGAAATGTGTTCACATGCCGCTGCTCCGCTTTTGATTGTTACATAACATTTACGTCCATGTACGTTGATGCCCCGTACTTTCTGTAAAAGGTAGGAATAAAAAAAAAATGGGACACGTGTTAATGAAAATATTAAATTAAAAAATTTTCAGCATGCATTAATCATGTTATCATTCACAACATGCTTATTTATAGCTCCAACTCACTCACTCACTACCAATTATATTCATTTTAAATGCAAATTTTTTTTTTATTATTATTATTTTAATTCTCTACATCGTCCTCGTACATTTCTCTCACCACGCATACATCACGTCTACAACCGACTTGCCATGAAGCTCTTTTCAATCATTTTAATTTAATTTTCGCCGAGCGAATGCTGCTATACATCATATCAAACTTGGAAAAAATACATAAAATATAATAATAAAATTTTTTTTTGGAGAGTGAGAACAACAAAACAGGAGGACAAAAAAAAGAATTAAAAAGTTGAGAGAATTTTACAGTTTTAAAGGTTTGAGCTGATGACGCTTTTTACAGTGGATTGAAAAATGGTTTTTGGTGACAAAAATTTTTGCAAATTTATAATACATTTTGGATTGAAAAGCTCCTGAATTTCGCGCCTTTTTAATGGGTAGTATAAGGATGTGGACTTCGTTGGTCTTCAATCTTGCTTAACTGATATATAACGAGGTTCGATCGCATTGATGATTTAGGATCGAGTAGGATCAAGACTAGGTTTCGTATTAACGAGAGTTCAAGTTGATTTCTTCATTCGCAACGTGATACCTTTATTACATTTATTGCCGACATACTGTCAGGTCCTTTAGTTCCATTTGATCACGTTCCTGACCTGCTTCTAAGCTTACCATGGCTCACAGCTTCAACTTCAACTTGATCATCTTCACCAAGCACCTGAACATTTGGGAAATGACAAACATAGAATTTGAAGGTTTCGAACCAATGCCTTTTAAGCTACGATATCAAATTTGAGCCCTACACCTTGCAGATCAAACCACATTGACACTTTGCTGCCGAAATTTCAATGAACTTATGAACTTCATACCTTAAATTATTGAAGCATCAAAATTCAAGAATATAAAGGTCGTGGGTACGAAAATTTCATCATTTCCTACAAATATCAATTTACTTAATTAAATGCAGACAAATTTCATAAAATCTTCTTTCACAATATTTCTGACGTTTGCCGCCAATTCATTCTAATTTGTTTACACCCACACAGACTGTGCTTTCAAGCTACAAAATGTAAAATTGCTTCAAACACGTGAGAAATTCAATTATTCCCATCAACTTTGTTGCTGATGAAATTACATACGAAAAATTGCGTTTTATTCAAAGTTTGCACACGACTTATGAAGATAATGGAATCATCACTCATGTTAGTAAAGTAAATACACGAAGATGATTCGAGTGGATTATTCAGTTTGTTATTTTGTTGAATTTAGACACTTTTGAGTCAAAACTTATTTAACATTAAGAGTATTAAGAGTTTTTGTATCTCTTTTGCTAATCAAAACTGATGTAGGCAGTATCAATAACACAATTGTCTGCATAGTCAAAACAATAAGAATCATCACAGCCAAAACAGCGAGTTTTGGCAATAAAATACGCAAAAATATGACGAATAAAATATTGAATTAAAATTTCAATTTTTTTTTTCCTTGCAGCATGAAGCGAAATATTTTTATATCCATAATATTTTTTTCCTTCTTTTTCATCTCAGTTGTTGGATGTGATAAAAGGAAGAAAAATGTTTCAGTCAAGCCAACATACAAAAGAACGCGATGGATGCTGTTTTTATCATAGTACAAAAAAATATTCTCATCAATTTATCTCCATTTTCACAGAATATTGTTTTGCTCAGGGGGACAACAACATGATTGGGTGAAAGTTTTGATACGAAATGGTCTAAAACTTAAGAAAATTGTCGGGACATTCAAAATTATGGCGGGAAAGCAATGAAAAATTTATAATCAGTCCAAACCAATTCCCCAAAACGTTGTTACCCCCTTGCATTTTTATGTTATCTCTATTCCTATCTCGCTCATACATATTCAATTTCATTTTTATCGCAAATATTTTCGGTATTAAATTTAAGCCCTTATAGAGGCGAAAGCGTTTATTAAATTAAAATTTCAATATAATGCGATGCAATGAAAGCTTTATGTACAGTACATATTTTTTACTACTTTTATCTTTTTCACCATCCATTATTTCTATCTTGTTCCACTTTTCTTTCATTTTCCCATGATTTCTCACTCATCCATTCATTCATTCTACCTTATTCAATGTTATGTGTTTGTGCTTGCCGCTGTTACCTTGCTTCCTTTTCATAGACACAAAGAGGAAAAATGGTAACGTATAAAAAGCATAAATCATCAAAATATATCTATGGATATATACAATCACAATAGATTCCTCTTCTTTTATGCGCTTTGCTAGTGTCCTTTATTGCGCTTAAACTTTCTCATGTTCTCGCTATTTTCTGCTATCCATTCTTATTACATGCTTTCTTTGTTCGTACTTTTTTGAATGAAAGTGTTAATGCTTGCGATTTGTCACTGTGTCAAGCGGTTGTTTGCTTATTTCGTAACTATTTTAGAAGAGAATGAGGGAAGGCACAGATGAAATGATGTGGTTGTGGCTTGGCGACTATCTTGTACCACTAAATGGTGTAACGTCCCTCAAAAGAGAGTCTTAATATGCCTTAATAGTAGGAATAGGTGAACATGCTTTAGCTAATGAAATTATAAGCTATAGAAAATATGAACACAGTTACTAAGTTGTAACCGAACTTCATAAATCTTCTTGCCACGCCCTTGACCCCCAATACAAATCTATAAATGCGCTCTCAACTCATAGCCCATCTATCACATCTTTTACAACTAAATTCATAACTGATGTGAGCTTTTATTAAACTTTTCTATCTACATCTCTATATTGCTGATAGTTTGGATCTAAATTTTACGATTGTCTCATCTTTGACCCTTTATAAATGTCACAATTTGTCGGTTGTGATTCGATGTTGTTCACTTTTATGAGCATTTGATGAAAGCTTCTGAGTCGAGTTAAGCATTATTGAGATTATCAGTGGATGTGCTTTTATTGAAGTTAAAGATCACACATGAAACTTTAGAAATTTCGTTACTTTAAAAAGTTTTTAACTTTTGCAAAAGTGCAGCATATTGAAAGTTTTATTTCAATGCTTTTAAGCTAGATAAATTGGCAAACATCTATTTCAATTTGCGTTACTTAAGTCAATAGAATTGTTCATGAAAGTTGCTGTATAAAGAGATTAGAAGTGATGAAAGTTTTGCAGCAATTCTAGTGAATTTTAATATTGTCGTGTTCAATGGTTTAAAATGCCTGAAGCTTTCTTCGTACAAGAGCTTTTAAGTTTACAGTAAATTTTGTTTCGGAATACATTGTATTGAGTAAAATTGTCACATCAAAACACAAGCAATACAACAGGCTGTTACTGGGAACAAATTAAGGAAATTGGTAATTTTTTCAATTTTTTAATGATTAATAGACACGGATGATAAGGATCTGGAACCGTCACATCATCTAATCATAGAAAATAGAATAGCAGCTGCATATCACTAGATCTATAATTGTTCCATCAAGAATCTTCAAGACAACGATGAGGGTAATCGCCCCTCCATCTAATCTTGATAAACATTCTAAAACTGAAAGACACTTTCCATTCAAGTATGAAAATAGAAAAAAAGCAGGTAAACAGTAAAACGAATCAGTCACTGAATGCCTATAGCAAATTTCAATTTAAATTCAAGTCCATCAATCTCAAGCATTGACTAAAATCTTTTCCAACCTCTCGCCTTCCAAGAAGTTCAAAGAAAATGAATTCGGGTCGAAATCTAAACATGCAAATTTTATTAAGGAACAAAAACTAAAAGTCATCAAACTTCATTATCCATAAAAGCGCATTTTTTCAGTTGAGAAGAAATGGAAGGGAAAAAAGGTCACATAAAGTGGATGCTTGAAGAAATATTTTTTTGAAATGTGAAAACAATATATAATGCAACGTGCTGCTGTTATCGCTGTTAACTTATGAAATAAAAAAAAAAAATAAGAGAAATAAGACGACATGAAAGAGGAAAATCAATATTTGAAATGAAAGGATAAATGGATTCCTTCTTGTACATTCTACAATCCTCTTTTCTTCTTCTTGCAATTCATTTTTCATTCGTCTTCAATCTTCCGATATAGATTTTGAGTGTGTGGATGCAGAACTGATATCTAAGGCTTGTTTGTGGAGCTATCCGAGGTATCATACTACTCCATACTTTAAAACATCTACAATGGGCCCAGAAACCGATTCCAAGTTAAGTTAATGTTCAAGCTGCGCTGTGTTATTCATCTCTATGCTATTCATCCACCAGATCACCAACCCTGTCCATATATATGTGGATATATATGAATTCTCTGTCACAAAAGTTTATCGTCATTCAATTATATCGATACATGTTTGATGACGGCAGACACACATATATAACGTATATATGAATGAAGTAGATAGATGATGATGTATAAAGATAAACAAAAGGACCAGAAGAATGGATGGGGAAGTGGAGAAGTAGAACAGAAAGTTTCGTTAAAAGCCCGCACCAAAAAAATAAGAATTGTGAAAAAAGTTCCATCCATTATGTTACTGAAAAGATTCTGTCTTCCCATTTTTAGCACATTTTCCTCAAGTGATTGTTGAAAGGACTTTTTATTGTCTACACACTCTTCTGTTCATTTCCGAGAAATCGAATTCTGATGAGTTGATGTTCGTTTTTTGGTCATTTAATTGTGTAGTACTGTATTTGGTCTGAAGAATGGATTATAGCTTGGGGATTAATTGAGAGCTTTAATGTCAAATTTGTTGTAAAATCTTAAATGGTCATTATGTGAAGAATTGTGTGAG